TTAGAGATTAAAACAATTATAAACAGTTCAGAAGAACATACCTCACTAAATTTACATTCTAGCTCTCCTGCCTCTAAATGTTCATCTTCTCTGCTTTGTATGTCTTAATATAAGTTGCTCATCTTATTAATCAAATGAAGACAAAACTTCACACACAGAGAAACATAAACTGTATGGCCTAAACTAATCCCTCTGCCTTTATTTTACCAGAAATAAGCTATTATCTACTAAAAGGAAATAAGCAATCGTTTATTTCCTTGAGATTTGAGTTGGACTCTTTTTTTCTTCTTTTAACTTTAAGGTAGTATCAATTATTATTTAACAATTTCCTTTGAACAGAAACACCCCCTCCAGTAGGGAGAGAGTAGACTCATGAGACTCAGGAAGTAAACTGATTGTAGAAGCCTAGGAAAAATGAGACTAGCAAGATCTAGGACAGCCCCTCTGGAGACTTAAAGAACAGCCAGGAAGAGGGCTCCAACCAGCCAGTGGCTGAGAAGAAATTGGACCCAGCTAGTTGCCTGAAGGTCATACACAGAGCTTAGTGTTGCAGCTTCTGTGAGACGTCATCCACGTTCTGCTGGTCATTACACTGACACAGCTATAACAAGAACTCACTGGTTCTGCAAGTCGAACTTTCCTATAGTCATCACTTTGGTTTGTCATTGGCTCACTATTTGGAATAAATAGATGTATATATTGTGTCACCCCAGGAAAAGGTTCTCCAGCAACATCAGTGAGAAACTCAAATGTTTAAAAAGTCATCTGTTTCCATCTGTTGACTTTCTCTTTGCCTTTCTCTGTATGTTTCAGCAAAAATGGAAGCATTTATAATGATATTACTTTTGGAACATGAACTCAAGCCTCCCCAGGTGAAATATTCCCCTAATTATTGCCAGATGACTACTGACTCATAGCTTATCATTGTGTTCAAGAACTAGACTAAAATATATGTATACTGTAGAATTACAATAACCATGATGTGAGTGCTTTGTCATCTTATCATGAAGATGAAATATCATACAGTACTTGCCATCCTATTTTGAAGAGCTAAGTTCCAGCTAAAATAGGTAAATCAATGGAACATAAGGTGGTGAACATTAGGCAATGAAGGACAACGATCCATGAATGGGAAAACAAAGGCATTGAGCCTTGTTTCTACATTATTGTCTAGGGTGTGTTTTCAGATTCTGTCATAGGTGGAGGAAGCTTAAGAATCATGTGAAATGAGGAAGCAGGTCAAAAGGGAAAAACGCTGTAGGAGAGAGTGTTTGAGTGACAGTATAAGTTCTAGAGATAGGTTAAGGACATTTCTCAAATACTCAATACAGGACACAAAATGCAAATGAAAACATAATCTTTCTACAAATTCTTCTTCAAGGAGGTTTCCAGAAGACACCAAAACAACATAGGCTATTACCATCATCTTTGTTCTCTGTGGTAACCATGTAAAAGACCACTATAACAAAAAATTTAAGACGCCAAAGAAAGAAATTGAAAAAGACACTAGAGGATGGAAATATGGCCGTTTATCATGAATTTACAGAATAAATATTGTGAAAATGGTTATATTATCAAAAACTATCTTGAAAATCAAACACAGTCTCCATCAAAATTCCAGTGCCATTCTTCACAAAATAATGACAGAAAGGAACAACAAAACCAAAAACAATTCTGATATATAGGTGGAAACACAAACCCCAAATAGGCAAAGGCATCCTTAGCAGAAAGAGCAACACTATATCACAGTACCTGATTTCAGAGTATATTACAGAGCCATAGTAACAAAACAGTATAGCACAAAAGCAGACATATAGAGAATAGGATGGAATAGAGAACTCAGAAATAAACCCTCACAGCCACAACCACATCACTCTGGACAAAGGTGAAAAAAAGAAAGAAAGAAAGAAAGAAAGAAAGAAAGAAAGAAAGAAAGAAAGAAGGAAGGAAGGACAAAACTCTTAACTGGGAAAACTGAATTCACTCACATAGATCTCTATCTCTAACACTGTATGACAATAAATTCAAAGTGGATCAAAGAACTTAATGTAAGACCTGAAACTTCAAAATAAACAAAACACCTTCAGATAGAGTCATAGGCAAGAACACTGGCCAGGGAATAAGAATTAAGTGATAGTAGCAGATGATGTTAAAAATTTCTGCATGGTAAAGGAAATAATCTGCCATATGAAGTGGGTAGGAAATGCTCTTTGCCAACTACATATCAGAGAAGTGATTAATATCCAGGGTATATGAAGAACTACAAACAAAAAAATCTGAGATCATCTAGTTAACAAGTGGAATAGTGAACTGAGTAGACAGTCTTCAACAGGAGAAATACAAATGGCTGATGTGAGGAAATGCAAATGAAAAAGGCTTTGAGAATCTATTTCATTCCGATTGGAATGGCTATCATCTAGAAAACAAATGGTGTCAAATATTAGAGATGATATCCACTCTGGAAGGCCTGTAAACTTGTGTAGCCATTATGGAAATCAGCATAATGTTCCAAACAATTAAAATTGGAAGTAACATATGAGACAGCTATTTCTATCTGGTGGATATAACCAAAGGATGAATCCATGTTTAGTGCTGGATCATTCATAGTACACAGGAAATGGAATCAGCCTAGTTGTCCATAAACAGACAAATGGACAATGAAAATGTAGTACATATACAGAGTTTTATGTCACAAAGGAAAATTAAATCATGACATTTGTAACAATCATTGGGCAAGACAAGCCAAACTCAAAAATGATGCATGCTTTCTCTATTATTCAGAATCTAGATTTATAATTATATATGCATGTGGCTCTCTCTGTCTCTGTCTCTGTCTCTCTCTCTGTGTGTGTGTGTGTGTGTGTGTGTGTGTGTGTGTGTGTGTGGGTCATGCAAGGAAATAACAAGACAGAAGGAAGAATTCATGAGGAAGTAAGGGGAAAAGATGGTAATGGCACATTTGTAACATGTAAACAGAAAAGGAAACTATTTAAGGGAAGGAAGAGAATCAAATCACAGTGGGTAGGTGATATAGAGTAAGGTAGTAGGGGGAGGGAATAGGTTAGAGCAATGTATAATCACACAGATATACATGCACGCACGCGCGCGCGCGCGCACACACACACACACACACACACACACCATAGTAAAACTCGTTACTCTATGTAATAACTAAAAAATTAATAGAAAGGATCAAATTATGGTCAAATAACCTGACTTAACCAAAAACTGTTTAAAATAGTTTAAAAGTAGCCATCATTAAATAAAGTATGATTTACAGTATTTCTTATGCAATAAAATATTATCTTTTAAAGAAACAGAAAGCTCCCCTTTTTTTGCCTCACCTACTATGAGAATGAAGACCAGTCTCAACAATCAGACTGTCAATGTTTCAGAAAATGCTGACATTACTCTGAGGGTGCACAGAGGTATTGTGAAAGGGCCCCAGAAGAACACTCTGGAAAGACTCTAATCCCATCAGCATAGAGCTGAGTCTCCTTGAAAAGAAAAAGAAAGGCTCCAGGTTGACAAAGGGCAGGGAAGCAGAAAGGAACTGGCTCCTGCTCAGACTATCTGTAGCTATCTATGCTCACAACATGTTCACAGGGCTGTTACAGTGGGTCTACACAAGATGAGGTCTGTGAGTACTCACTTCCCCACCAACATTGGTACTAGGGAAAGTCTCTGGTTGAAATTCACAATTTATTAGGGGAAAAAATAAATCCACAATGTTCAGATGGGGGCAGGTGCTGCTTGTTCCGCTTCTCAAATCTAGAAGTATGCTATAACATTTGAAGAAAATGATACTCAAAGTGATATTTCAAACCCAGCAGCTTTGACTTGGGAAGCCTCACGGTTGAAACCAATGGTATGAGGAAGCTTTTGGATGACATCCATGAGTTCCAAAAAGGAACCTTGGAAGTCACTGACAGAAAGCAAGAAGGGATGGGATACATGGGAAGGTTTGGAGACAGGAAAGAGAAAGGGCAAGTTATATAACTATATCAAAGCTTAAAAAAATTATAAAAAATGTGTTCTATATAAAATCCATAGCACACAGCCAGAGAGAAAACAACAACACAAGTATTGTGTCCAAGCGTCTTTGATGAAGTAGCCTTTTAAAATACATACAATGATAAGTTAAATAAGACATTTACATAAACTACTAATGAGCATCCCTTCTCAATGGAGGACAACAGAAGTTATTTTAGTTTTGATAGTTTTCTTTCTTTTTTGTTTTGTTTTGTTTTGAAACACCATTTCACTCTTAGCCCAAGCTGACCAGAAATTCACTCCTCGGGACCAGAAGGCCTGGATCTAATAGGGCTTCTTCCTGCCTCAGTTCCCTGCGTGTTGGGATCACAGCTGAGCACCTCCACCCCATGCTGGAGTTTATTGAGTTAACTGTTTGGGAGACAGTTTGGGATATTCCTTTAGAATTTAAACTGTATCCATATTTTTAACCCAATTTCTGACCTTTTAGAGATCTGTCTTATGGAGAATAATAATATGAACACATATCTTTAAATATTTAATTTCCCTTAGGGCACTTAACATAAAGAAGAAACTAGGTAAGTACCCAGATATGTCTTGGAACATTCTCACTAAATATTGTTTATGAACACAAAAAATAGAAACTTGAATAAATTTAAATAGTCTTCAAAATTATTTAGATGGATTCTGATTTAATCAAGAATGAGATACAACACAGACATTAAAATTATGAGACAGAAGTTGGGATGAAGATCAGTGGTACAGCACTTGCCTTTCAGGTGAAAGTCCCTGTGTTTGTTTCCTAGCATCACCAAAGACAAAAGTTAAATATAGTTAAATACAGAAGAAATAAAGCCATAGTATTTTGATACATAAAGAAAATGTAAATGATATTGCATAATCCTCTACTTTTAAGTTAAAACAGAAAAAAGAAACTATATATGTATATGCATATATATATATGTATATGATTATGTCCAGTAAAATATCCATAAATGCAGACAGAAAGTTATTCTTACTAATTATCTCTAGTGGTAGAATTTCTAAATTCTTTTATTTATTTATTTATTTATTTATTTATGTATGTTTTGTAGATTGTTGTAAGGAACATGGATTTATTTTTATAGCAGTTTTTAAACTAATTATGCTATTTACATTTGGAAACATGCTCCTCAAGATTATATTTTTTCTGGCAAAGTACATTCAATTATTATTTTAATTACTAGAAGTTACTGAAATTTCTAATTATTTCACATTGATGAAAGAGAAAATATTTGATTAATATTGTAAGTCATTGACTTTTTCATTCAACATGTCCTAGGGCACATATGTATACATTTTTTAATTTTTCCTAGGTATTACTATATATTTTGTTATCAAGTAATTTAATTTGCAAACTGGATTTTCTTGTTTTACATTTCCTACTTGGATATTTTAAAATTTAATTCATATAACTAATTTTAATGGTATTAGGTTTAGTGTGTGGAGATGCAATTTCTGGAGAACAACGAAGATACCATCCCATCTACAAAAGAGCAGACTATTGTCCTGCCAGTCCTTGTATGTCACGTGAGGTGTGACATGTGAGGATCTTGTTTTCTTAACCATCTGTAATAGCGGCATTATCAGTGAGCTGGGTCATCGGCCAGCTAGGTTGCAGGCTCTCTCTTGGCACGGATCAATCCAAACAGTCTTGCAGGATCATCGTGAACACTTTCCTCTACCTCCTCATTATCTGGTGGGAAACTTGCTACCGAACTGATCTGAGATACGTCAGCATCCATTGCACAAACTTGTGTGTCCTTCTCCTTGTCTGAGAAATTAGCATTCTGTTTCTTGGGCCTTCTTCGTTTCCCTTTGAAGCTGTGGTCAAGTGTGGCATAGCACATCTGATTTTCAGCAGGTACCTGAAAAGAAGGGTGTGTTAGTTGTTCATTGTTGGTCTACTTTTTAGTTTCCAAGACTTCTAAAACTTCCATGGCCTATGAGAAAGAAAATTCTTTTCTGGCTTTAGTTACCTTATTTTGCCAAAGTTGACAGTTAAAGATGACAACAATGAATTAATAGTTAATTCAAGACTTTTGAGTTGAAAAAGAAAAGTATTTACATGAAGCCTCATGGATTGTTTTCCCCATACTCAAAATTTATATGAACATATTAGACCATTTGTCACCTGCTTATATCCTCACCTCAACCTCAACAGTTACTGCCTTAAGTCACTTCTACCAAGAAACTGTACCTTCATTTGTTTAGGAGGGAAAACACAAGATGATAGGGAAGAATTTAACAAATATAAGATGTGCTTTACATATGCTTAATAAATGCTGATTTAATGATTTCAAGGGACGCACAAATACTTCCTCTGCCTCTTTACATTTTTAAACATTCATAAGAATAAAGAAAACATATCTCCTTGCATAACTGACACCAAAGACAGAATGGAACTTGTTACCATTCCTTTCTGTCCTAGAGCTGGGTCAGCATCACAGTGAGAACAGGAGACTAAGGTAACATGGGGGGAAGCAACTGATTGAAACAACAAATGTGTTGTTAGAAACTCCCTAGAGTAAGTCTCAGTTGTATTATGTACAACTGGGGCGCCATGGGTTTAGGTAGCTTCTTGAAAACCATACTGAGTCTCAGTAATCTTGCTTTTAAAATGAATGTGGTAGTATTTCTCTAATAGTGCTGATGCAATTGGTAAATAAAGTTCCTACTGAAGCTGTAATTGTTTAACAGCAGATGATATTATGGTTGTTATAGGCTTCAAACTAAAATCGAAGGACTTCCATTAAATGTAATGTATCTATTTATGTTCAGGATTTACTTCTAAGACCAGGCTAAAATCATATCTGTCAATGGGACCAGAGGCTGAGGAAGTAACATTTGGGTGAAAAAATGTCCCATACCTAAGCAAGTATCTCCCTATTGGTAGAAAGGAAGTGTCTTGGGTTTTTATTTCAGGCAGAAGAGATGGCTCCATTTACATGCTCTTTAGTTTCTTTATCAGACTTGCTACTGTTTAATCATTTTCACAGAATTGCAGTATCTGTCAAATTGATGTTCACACTTTGATCTATTCCCTCCACCATTCATGCCATATACAGCACTTCATTTTTTACTATCCGTCCTTCAGAATCACAGTCTATGGACTAAAGTCTGGATTTCATGCCCTGCTCTTTAAGGTTTTCTATTTGATGCTCAGTACTCCCCTCCTCTGCTCTCTACCCAGCAAACTTGGAAATTCACAGTTGCGCATATTTAGAATTGTCATCTGCCTCAACTTCCCCCAAACAGACTGCTGAAAAGCTATCGATGTTCACTTAGGACCATAGAGTAGTGGTTATTTGTTGGCCTTTGGGACTTTTAGAACTTTCTTATCTTCTTTGGTAGATTCTGCCTTGGATTGCTGTACCCAAGGCCAGAAAGACTAAGCAACTGACCTATGCTGGACCAAACACCCATTGCCTCCCATCTCCCTGGCAGTAATGCCCAAGAGAAAGACTCAGGAATGGGCACATTTGGTGGCATTTTAAAGTTGATATTTACTATCAAGAATAGAAAAAGTATCTTTTCCCTTGAACTGAAAAGAAAAATACACAAGCCTTCAGCGGCTTGTCCAGCCTCACATGAGGAGTCTGCTGATAACAGGATAGAAAGAGGCACGGCGAGGAGAATGAGGAGTGCTTCTCTACGTAATCATCTCAAAAGCAAAACACATTCTCATCTCTGTCTATCACACGAGGCAATACTCTCCCTTTAGCACCAAAGTGGTTGGAATTTCACTCCAAATAATACATGGTGATACTACTGCATTTTATCAGGCAGTGCCAGGGTTTAAAAAAAAAAGAGTCCCAAGAAAGGATCATGGCTGTACATGAAATATTCACTTCAGACTTCCACTGTGCTGGCTTGGTTGAGAGAACTGGGGTGGAGGTGTGTAGAGGAAAGGGTAAAGGAATGTGTGTCCCCAGAAAGAAACACAAACCACAAGGGATGGGAAGAACCCACCCAATTTCCACCTAGTTCAGAAATCAGAGGGAAAAGAGAGCAAAGGAAGTTTTTGTTGTCATGCTTGCTTTGTTTTCTTATTGACATCATTTGCACAATGCTAGGCGAAAGATCATGATCATATCCAGGAAGAAAAGGAAAATTAATAAATTGTAAGATCCTGAAGGACTAGCCTAGGCAGTAGTGAAAAGATATAAGAGGAAATATTTTGGAGAGGAAAGAATAAAACTTTAACTGAACTTTTTGATGGTTTCTGAGCACTATGAAAATTTGGTGCTGTACATGTATATGTGTAAATATGCATGTATGCACAAACAGCTCCTATTGTTCTTGAACTATACCTAACTTTGAGTCTTCTGGTGTTGTTTGAGTTTTGCTCTTGCTTCCGTATTTCCCTGTAGTGCTCAAGTCTCAGAACTTGACATGTGATACATGCCGCAAAACATTTAACAGGGTGCTCCACATGTGTGTCAGAAAACACTTTCTGTGCTCTTGAAACATGTGCATGAACCTGTCAACTTCACGTGTACAGTAAACGTCACCTGGGCAGATGAAGTGGCTTCTTGCATATCGCTTTCAGATCTTTGTGGTCGAGATTTCATTTGCTCATAGCAGTCCTCATCCATTGGTTCTTGGGAGGAGAGGTGATGGAGATTTCCGTGGAAAAATGAAAAATACTGGTTAAATAAAGTGTATGATCCAAACAGTATTTAGCTAAGAATATATGGCATCAAGAACTATTTAACAAGCCTCTTATATGGGCATGCAAAGTTATGGGAGCTCAAACTATTACCAGCAGATCTGACACAGAAGTCTTGCCCACAATATTACAGACAGACAATAAGAAGCTCAAGATGTAGATGTTATCGTAAGGATTTTCTGTACCATAGTAGCTTGTGGGAGTCTCATCTAGACTACTGTTTAAAATGATCTAGAGATCAATGGAATTAATGGGTTGCATGTGTTATCCTATTTATTTAGAGACAGGGTTTCTCTGTATTGTTTTGAAGCCTGTCCTAGAACTAGCTCTGTAGACCAGGCTGGCCTTGAACTCACAGAGATACACCTGCTTCTGCCTCCAGAGTGCTGGGATTAAAGGCCAGCCTGTGTTTTCTACTAAGTGGGTGTGACTACACTCGGTATACTGTGGCACTTGCAAAGTCCATCAATGATTACAGCTTTGTAATTCATTGCAGAAACATTTAAAATATATCATCCTAATTTTGAATAAAATTGCTTAGATTCTGATTTGTGTCCCATCAGACAGAGGCATTTCAGATTGACAGGACTATTTTAAGTCCTCAAGATTGTTCAATGCCTTTCTAATGATATAGAACTTTTGTGCAGTGTCTAACAGCCAACAGACATGTATGTACCCACCACATCCTTTTTGCTAGTAAACCATCCTACTCTGTATCTTTATTCTTCCAAATACATCCCTATACACACCTACTTAGGGTGGCTAGTTACCTGGCCAAAATGTACAATGCACCAATTTGGCCTCAGGAAAGAAGTTATATTTATTATACCAAAAGGTACTTAATAATCTTTCTACCCTCTCTGAAAAACAACATGGGGAAAACACCATAGAGTGGTTTCTCAAATCAGAGTCCATGGAAAACTAGCATCAGAATCTTATATTTTCTTGTTAAGTAGCAGATCTAAACCCAATCCAGAGCATATGAGGTCAGAATCTGGGAATAAACCCATGGCATATTTGGTTTGGAAGTACAGATCTGATGGGCTCTGGGCTATCAGAATTTATATGAATTTAAATATGAGGGCTGAGGTCATAATTCTGCCACATGAAACAGAAGGGACATTATTTTAATATAATATTTCTGGCTTGTTACAGTGCACAAGTTAGAGGATGTTCATAATAGAAAGAAAGACAGTTAAATCTTTGAATCATTATAAGATTCCCATGTCTCTAACTTTGTAATGCTGTATTGGTTTGGGTGCATAAATACTATGGTATGTTTAAATCACAGAAAATCTTTGTGTTGGAGATCTACAAGTAGAATAAACCCAGGGACTATGCTTGTGAAGAGAGTGAAGACTCATAGAGGAGTTGTGGCTTTCCTCATCATCATCCAAAGAGATCAGCTCACAGCCGCTTGCTCCAAGAACTTCAGAGAGTTTTGTTTGGAGCGAAGGTTCAAGTGAAGAGTACTTGCAGAAGAATAAAAGCACAAACCACTTGGCGGTGACTTGGTTCTGCTTTCTCCCCGGCTTGCTATCAATCCAGCCCCAGGTTCTCCACTTAAAGAGAACAGGCTAAAATACGGGAACTAAGAGAAAGTGTTCATTCCTTTGGCCCATAAGCCTGTACACAGGGTTCTATATACAGGAACACAAAATACTGTTTCTGTGGATCATATTCTGTTCTAGAAATGGCCTTATTTCATAGATTTCTGTGTGTGTCAAAATTAGTGGGAATAGAACCCTCTATTGCTGTTCTAGTGGTTATGTATTGTTGTTACAGGAGAAAAATGAAGCACACAGAGAAATGGGAGCTGCTGGCTTGCACTGACTATCACAGTGCAATGTACGTTGTGACCCTTGCAAACAAATCCTTATGCAATATACTATTTATAACTTACGGCTTTTAGAATGCCTAACTGTGATGGCTTTCAAAATGAGACATCTCAAATTGTTGATGGAGTTATGTGGGGTTTTTTGACATGGAAAAATAAAACTTACCTGGGATTATATTATTTAAGTTACCGTAAATTGGAATATCTTCAACATAATAATCATCACCTCTGTAACAGGGGAAAATAATTTTCTTCATTAGATAAAATCCACTTTACACTTAATAAAATTTAATTATAATTACTAAGTAATAATTGGTTAACTAATAACTAATTTCTCAGCTAACTTCTAGTAAACTACCATATGTTCTTGTTCAGTCTCAGACTCCTATGGTAGAAGTGACCATATATGAATGAGTGAAAGCATGAAACATGTATTTGTGTGTGTATGTGACCATGTGTGTGTCTCTCTGGGTGTATGTCTGTGTACATGCCAAGTAAAAGTTGAGAATGGAATCTTCTTTCAGGAATGCATTAGGGACTTTCTAATATATTTTGTTTGTTTTTTATTGGTTTAATTCTCAAAGACATCTTGATTTTATAGATAAGGGACGTGAAATACACAAACATTACAGGACTTCTCTATTTCAAGGTCATTGGGTCAAAAGAGTAGAAAAGAGCAGAGCTAGGATTAGAATGCAGATTGGCGGTGCTCTTAGCTCTACTGTCTGTTTTCTTGCTACCAGTACAGTTCTGAAAGGTCCTTTAAAGCTACATTTGTTAAGTAAATTCTGTAGATTGATGTTGGTAGATGGAATACAATGATTGACAACATACTGCACTTATAGTGCAACTATAGCCAGGAGAAGTCTGAGACTCAGATAGGTTAATTTATTAACTAACTTAGTTTTATGAGCAACATCAGAACTAATTACCAGTTATGAGAATTTCCCACTCTGTCAGGGCTTATTAAACCCTTGGGCCAGTCCTATAGAATGGTAAGATTCCCTGTACTGCACACACTAGGAATCAGCAATACATAGGAATTAAGTAGCCAAACACACAGTCAGTTATTGTAGAGCTGGAGTCACAATGCAAATTTTATTGCAAAGTCCAATGCTCTACCCATATCCTAAGGAAGTCATACAGAAAGATACATAATAAAAAGGCATTAGGGAAACAGTCCATATAAGATCATATAAAGACTATAGTTTCCTGTCTGTCTAGTCAAGAGAACTAACAGGGTTACACAAATATTGGCTCCTGTTAAATTTCCTTCTTGTTTTACGTGAATAATGCTGTTGTCACAGTAAATACCTTACCAATGTCACCAGGCAGTCCTGCTGATATCACTCTTATTGGCAGGGTAGGGACAGAGGAACATACCATTTGGAAAACGAAATAGGACCAACTGTTTTCACTTTGACATTACATGTCACAGTGAGCTGGAAGGAATTATAACCAAAGAAAAAGGGAGTCATCCCAAGGTGCGGCACCAACAGTGCTTCCCATACTTCTTAAAGAGTGTATATAAATACTAAATAGGTCTCCTTAAACAACAGTTCAAAAAATGCCCACACAAAATGGCTTGGAATGCCCAGATGCTGGCCTACATTTCACTTATCCGATAGTGAAAGATCTCATCTGTAATATTTTTTCCATCCAGTACACCTTAGTATAGGAACCAATGGTCTTGATCCTGGCTTTCCCCTGGATATGCAGAAAATATTATAGCAAAAGTTGAAGACATTTCATAAGATGAGACTTCTATTTTCCTAGCCCACAGAGATAGCAGATACAACCTGCAAATGATAAATCATGTCCAAAAAAATGAATATCACTCTATTCCCTATGAATGAAAAATAAGATGTGATTTATAATGCAGTGCCCCATGTCTGCAGGCTGGTCTCAAGTGATTAATCACCTCAAATAAACTATTATTCAGAAACAGCTGCTTAACGAACAAATTAAAAAACGTGTTTTTACTTAGCAATGCCAAATAGCTGCAGCTTATTGCAGACATGTAATAAATGTCAACAGCCAATGTTTGGCAATATTTTTTGTGGAAGATTACAATAATTGCTGCTTTTTTCTTCTGCAATGCTGAGAATCAAATGTCAGGTCTTGTGCATGTTAAGTAGGTTGTCTTCCTCTGAGTTACATACCCAGCTCCTGTAGTGATAGCTTTTTAAAAAATTAATAACTGAGCTCATAACTGAGAGAATAATATATCCTGAATTTGGGGTCAAGTCAGAGTGTCAGTCTGGGCATGTCTGAAGAGGAACTGTAGCCATCAGGTACATTTGAGGTCTTTTATGCTCTGGCTAGGCCTAGTGTGCCAGTCTCAATTTTCTGCCTGTGGATCCAGATGAGAACTCTCAGCTCCTTCTACAGCACTATGTCTGTCTGCACACTGCCATGTCCTGCCATGTGATAATGGACTAAACCCTGCAGTGACTCACTTCTTCAAACAAGTCCACACCTACTCCAACAAGGCGACATCTCCTAATAGTGCCATTCCCTATGGGTCAAACATTCAAATACATGTGTTCGCTTGGGCAGCACATATACAAACATTTAAACACATGTGTCTATGGGGGGTCATTCCTATTCAAACCACTACAGGAAGCAAAACCTAAAGGGTCCTTGGTGACTCAGAGACAGAGACATGAGCATTTCAAGTATAAAGCACCAGGGTCCCCAGGGCTGCAGATGGGCCAGCAAAACAAAATTAAGACTGACCCTATGGAATTCATTGGTCACCTTGGTAAGAGTTAAGTTAGTGAATTGGAGGCTCAAAGACTGAATGGTATAGAATCAAGAATTCCAAAGAGAAGAGGATGCCAGCAAATTAAGATCAGAATGCAGCTAGAAAAGGTGTATAGTAGACAGGCAGCTAATGTAGCGATGTACCATCAGGCCGGTATTTTCTCATTTGTTATCTTTTAAAGTATGGGCAACACAGTGTACTTAAAGATTAAGGCAAAGACACAAGCGAAGCAGAAAGAACAGTAAAGCGGAAGAGGAAGAGCAAGCTGCTATGGGTGTTCCTGAACATGTGATTGCCAAACTGTGCCTTTCCTCATCAAGAACTGCGAGACAGGAATTATTAACCCCCCAAATAGGGAGCGGGAGGGCCCCAAAGAGAAAGGCCTGATCCAGAAGAAGCATGTAAACCATATAATCCAAACAGCATCAGAGTTTCTATCCATTACCCTTGCCAGTAAAAAGATCACCATATTTTTTAGATGTTAAACCTGAAGTTTACAGATGCTGAATATTTCCCCAAGCATGCAAATAAATGATGATAAGAATTCCACTAAATTTCTGATTTCTTTGGATATCAGACCAATAATACATCCACTGTGTAACTTTCTTACACAAATAGAAAAGAGGAAAGGATTGTATATGATTTATTTCAAGAAAAAAATGAGGCAGCTCTAAGATAAATAACATGGAGTGTGTATTTTCTGTTCTGTAAATTCAAATGTTATGTTGTCCTTGAGTTGAACTTATTTGTGATCTTCTGGTACAAAAAGGACAGGGGCTTGGGCAAAGAGGAAGAGCAGAGAAAAATTTTATTTCCCTCTAACTTAACAGATACTGCAGAACCAGGAGAGTGAAAAGGGAACCCAGTATGATGGACATGTGTTTGCTTCTGACTGAAGAGGCTTCGGTTCTAGCTCCACCTCAAAAGAGGTTGGTTTCTATGTTTTCTGTTGATGGTTTTACATTTTAGTGAGTGAAGATAATGGTAATTTTATTTTACTGAGTCTCAATGCCTCCTTGCAAAAGTATTTTTGATCTTCAATCCACACAATCAAAAAAAAAAAAAAAAAAAGTGGACTAGTTATATGTTCAGAAGTTTAGGAATTAAGGTAACTTTTGTGCCTAAGTGGGGGATTATTACAAAAGGCAATAGACATTTAAGGCATTTATTATCAGGCAACAGATGATTAAATCTTTGAGGAAAAGATTAGATCTTTCCATTTTGTGGTTTTATCGTTGGAAGACTGTTCTCCAGGTGACTTCGGAGCATCCCTGTATCATTTGTAATGCTCAAGGATAACCAGAGTATGTATGAAACAGTAGATGCAACACCATGGGATAAAGAACTGGCTGGAAAAGCCCAGGCTTGGCTCCAGTCTCCATAGAGACAGAAGCTTTCACAGTTTTAGCTGTCACTTTGTCTCTGGGGTGTAAAAGCCAAAGCTGGCTGATTTCTGATGTTGCTCACTAACAATGTAAGTAAGACACATGCAGGTGAGATGCTGTGCCCCAGGCAGCATCCAGGCAGCATTTGTCCTAGCCTCAGGAACAATTCATGGTGAATGTGAGGTCTCTTTGTCCTTTACTGCATAATTGTAAATTTTAACCTCTTTCCATGCTACACGTTGTGTGTATTACTGTCTCCCTTGCTAGACACGGCAGGTAGGAAAGCGTAGCTCAAGATGTAATGGGTGTAAGTGCTTAAACTCCTATGCCTGATGGTTGATATTGGTGATGATCTTTGTTTTCCTTCACATAGGAGGAGTTTACTCTTTGAGAATCAATGATCTTAGTTTATAATTTTCTAGTGTAGTACTTATTCTTGAGGGATAATTTGCTAAATGAATGAATGTTACATAAGAACCAGCCTTATTCCCACATCTATAGTACAGATAAACCCAATCTGCTTTGAGATGGGTAATGTACCAATTTTCCTTTCCAACTTTGCTCATGCTAATACCAAAGCTATCAACTTAGCCTAGCTAAACAATCAAATGATAAAACTTTTAAAAGCACTGTATCTTTTTTTTTTTTTATTTTGAAATAGGCTCACTTTATGCAACCCACACTAGCCAGAAACTCAGAATCGACTTTCCTATCTTGCCTTCCTAGTGCTGGGAGCACCACACCTGGCATGTCATATCTTAATTGCCCTTCAAATGTCAAGAATAAAGTTAATCATAAAAGAGAGTTCTCATGTTTATTGTTAGCAAGTCATTCTTGATGGCATGAAATTATCTCACACTAAAGATTCCAGTATGAAGAATAGCCACAAAAATTTGTATGCAGAGAATCTATCTGCAACTGTATCTGTAAGAGACATTTTAAAATAAACTATTATTGAAAGTCATCATAGAGTCCAAATGCTTCAAAGCCTGTCCTGTCCATCCAGTTACAAAGCTCATCCAAAGATTTCTCAGTCCACCATTTTGGAATATTTGAAGAACCCTGAAGAATACGCTCCTTATTTGGATTTTCATTCCTAAAATGGAATATTCAATATAACAATACATTTGAGTTATAATATTCTATCTAGAAAAATGAAATTTCATTACTATGATTCATGCTCTAGACTTTCTCATAAAAATATATTGTACAAACTGGGCATGGTGGTGCACATCTTTAATCCCAGTACTTGAGAGGCAGAGGCAGGTGGATATCTGTGAATCTGAAGCTAGCTTGGTCAACATAATGAGTTCCAGGATATCCAGAGAGACCCTTTCTCAAAAATAAAAAATTTAAAAATATATACTGTACACTTTCTGTATAACTAAGCCAGGAAGTATTAAAGAGACGAATTTAAGTATTATTTTAAAAGTATAAATTCATCACATTTCACTATTGATTGAGATCACCCTTGGAAATAACATGCCACTAAACAAGTGTGTGTGTGCGTGCGTGCGTGCGTGTGTGTGTGTGCGTGTGTGTGTGTGTGTGTGTGTTGAACACACACACACACGTTTCTCTTCTATTTGTTTTGTTTGCTTTTTGAGACAAAGTCCCTATATTCCCCAGGTTGACCTCAAAATTCACTATATAGCCCAGGCTGGCTATAAACTTGTGTTCTTTTCTGTCTTGACCTTTCCATTGCTGGTTTTACTGGCATGAACCATCTGGCCTTGTAATTTTTCTTAAGTCTTAGGATGTTTTATAGACTTCCTTCTACTCTACATTCAGAAGTATCACCCTATATAAAATTAGACTGTTCTCTTAAGTTCTCCTTAGTTGTAATACAGATATCTGTATCAGATATTAGTGAGAGTTTTATAGATGCCACATTAGACTATCTTTTTACTCTTTGCTCAGCTCTTTGATTGACTTGATGCTGTTTTAATAACTGGATGATAATGTTATGGCTTCCAATTTTCAGATGAGAGTAAAATAATTGTAATTTACTTTTCATTTTCTTTTAGAGCAGCTAGTAACATTTCTGAGGCAAATATATAAGCAATATGGTATTTGTTACTTTTCGTATTTAGTTGGAAATAATAATGCATTATTCATTTTAACACACCTTGGAATGTAGTCATCAGGGTATCTGTACATCATTTTATCTGAAAAATATTAAAAATATACAAATTAAAAGAATTATTTACACATTTAAAACTATTTCATGAAGTGTTCTGAGGGGAGCAAAGCCTCAGTGTAATTTAACAAATTTTGTCAAGCCATAACAGCTCCTACTAATTGAACTTGGAAAGATATGATTTGCAGGTGATTTGAGGGTACCCAAGGGGTGCCTGTGCTAGTGGTTACTCCCAGGCATGGCAGGATCGTGAGTCACTGGAACTTTTAAGAATATTTTCTAAGGGAAAACCCTTGAATCACCTAGAACATTGGTGTCAGAAGGGCTTAACCACATTCTCATGTGACTGCTTGGTAGTTCCTAGAAGGTAGTGATAAATAGGAACAAAAATGACTGCTCTCTTTCTTCTCCTGACTGGAGATATGATCAGTTACTCTAACATGTACACTTGCCTTTTCTATCTCATATGAAATGACAAGGAGTAGAGCCTATGCTATCACTGTCCAGACTTTGAACTTCCTAGAACTATACGCTAAAGAAAATCCTTCTGTTTATAAAGTTAACTGCTTTAGTGTCTTGTTGTAGTAATCTAATGGATAAAGACATCTTCCTTTATGAGACAACCATATTTGAGATGCAAACCAGACAACTTGGGCATAATGTTGAACTAGATGCACAACTATTTTGTGCATAGAAAACAATGAGAAACTGGGACTCTCTTTCTGTCACCCTTGTTCCTGGTCATTGTGAAACATGGACATAGTTTCTGCTGTTGAATTCCAGTAACACATCTGGGTTTTTCTGTTACTTCTGGTTTTGATCAGGTTTGTTCTAATAGATTTTTCTAATGACAACAACAATAATAGCTCAAAATGAATCTTGAAGGTGGCATCTCAATGGCAAATAATTTGCTAAATGCATGTTTATTTAAAATAAATTTGGAAATGTAGTTTTTGAGGACTATTTTATGAAAGTAATAGATTCACACTAAATTATTGAAATTAATGGATTTAGAAATATTCAGGGTACAGTTAAAATGCTTAATATCAACTTCATTTTAGAAATTTTATTACCTATTCATCAATGATTTATACGCTAAACTAAAGGGATGCATGTAATATGACATTTATCATATTTGAATTTCTTACTATTAAAGAGGCACAGAATAAGTTATTCTGAAGTTATTCTATAAAGACTGCTATCATCTCAGTCTCTGACATCATAAACTAAAGGGCCTCACAATTTTAATATATGGAAAACACAGTGATCTGGGAAAGAACTAGCAGGAATCATTCTACATAACTGAGTCAATCACCAAACAACTGGGAAATTTATTTTAGGTAAATATATGACAGTGAAGTAGACTACACTAGAGAGGTTGCTAATTATTACAGAACAATTAGCTGAAGTATTTATGAAAGTGATCACATCAGTGAAGGAAATGAACAACCAAATGAGGGACATTCTTGCAGAACACATCTTTTAAGCTGCCACAGAACCCAAAATGATGGAAGTAATCCATTTGGGATGTCAGAAATACAGTTGTTCTAGCCTTTAGGAAATTCCCTACCATGAAACTGCATCTAATATGAAGTTACTTTCGGGTGCTTTCAGATTAGTCTTTTGAACAGTAATGCTGATGAACCCTGGAGGGAGCCTAAAAGGGTCAAAAAAGACACATCACAGTAGTCTCCTTAAGGTGTAGCAAAATCAGGAAGCATGAGAAAATAATGAATATCAATAAACAAAGAGTAAAACAAGGTCAGAAAACTATAAAGTGGAAAAAAAGCATGATATAGCATGTATTTATATCTATATTTAGAAAAGGAGCCACATATACTCAGATCATTGGGTACTTTTAAGATTTGCTTGGTGTCATTTGAATAAGAGATGTCCCCCAAAGTATTGAACTTTGATCACTTGGTCTCCAGCTCATCATTCTGTCATCCTGTCTGAGGAAGTTTGGGAGGTACAGCATCTCTGGAGAAAGTATGTCACTGGGGATGGGCTTTGAGAGTTAAAAGCCATCGCCTGCTCCCAGATAACGCTCTCTCTCTCTCTCTCTCTCTCTCTCTCTCTCTCTCTCTCTCTCTCTCTCTCTCTCTCTCTGCTTGACCTTGAGGACATGAGCTCTCAACTTATTGCTTGATCTGCCATGACCCTTGCTTGGGCTGCCGTGGCCCATGCCTCCTACCATGACAGATCTGCGTTCCTCTGGAACCGTAAGCTCAACTTCTTTCAGAAGTTTCCCTGATAATGATGCTTTATCACAGCAACAGAAAAGTAACTAATGCACTTAGAATTAAATACGTCTGTAAGAATATGAACTCTAGGATGATGTCTCATGGAACATATTCATGGTTGGGAATTAGCTAAGATTGGATTTGGTACCATCTCTGTAGGGCACTTACTATGTGACAGTATGAAAATTATTCTAAAACGATGCTTATTAGTTCATCTGTACAACAGAACAGCAAACCCAGCATCGTGGAGTGGATATGGAAAATAATTAAAACAATGTCAAGACATTTTATAAAATGACAAAGCTACTCATCAGTATCATATGGTCTAAAGCCATATCATATAAGCCACAATTTGTACTTATTGAATTGGAAAGTCTTCTTATAAATGAGTTAACTGGAATAGGCATATTATTCAGTTAATAAAGTGAAAAATAGAATATAAGTAAAGTTTGATTTGGAAAGAAATCACTGAAATTTTACCTTTATAAAGGGGATTGCCATTGGTTAAACATTTTTCCTTATAAAAATAATGAATATTTTTTTTAAAATTAAAAAATAAAGAATATTAGGCTATGTAGCTCCGTTGCTCATCTAGCACACTCAAAGCCCCTAGTTAGATCCCCAGCACCGTATGAACTGGTTTTGGTGGTGCATGTCTCCAATCCCAGCAATTTGAAGGTCAAAATAGGAGAAACAGGAATTTAAGGTCATCCTTTACTACATATTAAGTTTGAGGCAAGCTTGAGGTACATAAAACCTGTTCTCAAAATTACACTAAGACAAAAAAGAATATAATTTAGTAATAAGAATAAAGAAAATTGGATGTCCCATAAAATATTTTCTCAAATTAACAAATATTTTTATGAGATTATAAAATAAAGACTTTTATGTAAAAGTATTTGTAATATGAATGCCCGTGCCTGGAAAACATACTCATGTAATGTTTGAAAGAGTAACTCTAGAGTAGAGAAATGCAGTTGGATGTTTCATCCCTAGAATAAAAAAAGAAAAAAAAACTATAAAGTTTTGTGAGAAAAGTTGAATAAAAGCAGCTATGTACAAGATATTATGAAGTTCTTAAATAGAATGAAAGGTGTATAAAAACAATATAAAATAACAAAACAAGATAACTGCATAAAGGACATTATACATCAGACCAACTGCAGAAGAAACACTGTGAAAGCAGATTTGAAAAGTCCAAGGTCTTCTAAGGCTGCCCTAACCTTAGAAAATAAATGTGTATTTGGATGATAGCTAGCCTATCACTGCTTGGGTAATTTTAGTTTTTAAACTCCTTCCTAAGCAGGTTAATAGGCAATGATCTCTTGCTAAGCATGAAGGTGAGCAAGCTCAGGCTCCTGCAAAGACCTTCTCTGTCCCAGAGGCTCAGAAGTTTATTTATGAAAAACGGTATGATTTAAATGCTGCCTCATCATCTCAGTGCTACATGGCCAAATTGAAAACTGTGCTCTGCTGCAAAGTGTGCAAGATCATGATGGAGAAGAGCTGGGTGAGGTTCCCCACCCTCCCCTGTGATGCAGATGCAAGGCTTGCGGTTGGTGTATATGAGGCAGGCTATGATGCCAAGGCATTTGCTTTTATGTTTTCCCTTTACAGTGTCCACTCCTGTCCGCACACTCTGTTGCAGCAAGAAATGCCAGCACATGTCTGAAACACTAACACTGAACTCTTCCTTCTGATGCATTTCAGTCAAAAGTATGCCACGGTCTAGCGAAAAGAAGGTTCACTGATAGGACTGATAGACAAATCACATGCTTGTTTATTCTTTTGAAATCAAAGAGGAAGAGTTGAATAAATAATAGTATTCGGGTTAATGGAAGAAGGAAACACATTATCTGGAAAAGAAATGAATACACCCCTCCTAAAGACTTGGACAAGCATTGAATAAAGACTTAAATTTTGGAAAGCAAAGAGGGGGCTCATTTTCAAAGCTTCCAGCTGGCTGCTACATAAAGTACCAAGACAAGGCTTGTCTTATCTATCTGATTGAATATACAGATATTATGCTGTCGCTGGAAGGAGAGTTCCTTTTGTAAGCTATTTAATACAACCCAAAGTCACTTCAATGACTGTTGGCCAAGGAGGAGTCATATCGTGCAAGTTTCTCAGCCACAAAGAGTAGCACAAAGATGCTAACACAAAAGTGAGAAGAGGCCAATAGCAGGAGCATTACATTTACAGACCAGATGGAGAAAACTTGCCGATGTGACAAAATCTCCTGTAACCCTTCTTGCTGAAGAAACAGTGTGAGCCCAAGCCTCCAGCATCAGGGAGGAACTCAGTGCTTGCAGAGACAATTCCAACTGCCTGTAGTCTCTGGGACACAATAGTAGCATCTGTTCCCGGGAACTGGAAAAGAGGGTAGGGTGGATATGCACACTTGAGGAAAGCTGTTGGGAGTGGCTGGACAGTGGTGAAGGTAAATGAGAGTGTCTGGCAATTGTAGAATGCCGATAAAGCTGCTGTAAGGCTAATCATCTTAGGTTTGCACATCAATCTATACAGTGTGTTCCACCTAAGACGTATATATCAAATCAAGTGACCTGAGATCCACTGATGTCTGTCAGGAACCAACCACACCAAAGCCTCAAAACACCCACTGAAAAGGAGTTGAAGATGACTTGCAGCAACACAGCTCTGTCGGCAAAAGCCCTGGATGTTGTTAATTTGGTAAATAATATAAATATGGGGACAGGAAGTTAGTGAGGAGCTACAGAGGATCTACAGGGCATGGACGTGGCTGGAGCAGCAAAGAGGCTTGGGGAATGATGCCTACTGAAATAATGTACTAGAGTTAAATGAAGTGGTGATTACTATGGAAAAAAGGGAAGGAAGTCAGGTCCATGAGCTTTGTGATGTGGACTATATGAGATACACAACCAACCTGCTAAGTCCCAGCACTGTGCTAAGATATATGCAGGGTTTCTTTTTCTCACAAGACCTTTATAGTCTGCATGGTGCTTTCCATTGCTGCAAAGGAAACTGAGAATCAGAGAAGTAGCTGCTTGCACAAAATCTGACACCTGAAACCTAAAATCAGAATGAATTTTAATTCACAACAGATTTGATTTGCTTTAAAAGCCATGCTGCTAAAAATCGGATGACTGGCATTAATCAAAAGAAAGACATCATGCATTCAGTTTATTATTTCCTATTTTCAATTTTTTTCTCCACAACACTACTTTTAAAAAATAGAACAGTTTGTGGTAAGGCTGGGACAATTATGGCTTGCTTATATAATTGAAAAAAAAAAGAAATCAAACCTATCATGCAAAACTAAATGCAAAGTTACTGCTTCTATCTGTTTGATGGAAAATGGTCTGGATAAGGACAAATAAAATCTAATGCACAAAGCACCAAAGGTGAAAATTATAAAAGCTGCTCACATTGGGGTATGCGAAACTACTGTATTTCCAGCTTGGGTGCTCAGGCACAGTTCTGATATTGGATTGCTATGTGACCTCAGTTATGTCACTCATTCTCAAGTACCTCTCAGTTTCAAAAATCTGCATGACAATGACTTCTTCACTCTTTGTGCTGCATTAGCAATACTTGGGAAGCTTCTTCTAAGTGGATCAAGGATGCAGTCTACAATTTGATCAGCATTTATATTAGCTTCGTGCAGATTTTCTTAGACATATGCGCTCTGTTTAACTCCAGCTTGCTTAGTTTTAGGTCTTTTTTATGAGTTTGAAGAAAGTACTTGTATTCTTTAAAAAAAAAAATCATTCCTGACCACTTACATACAGCTCCAGCTGAAGTTTCTCTGTCCTTAGAATATTAGGGCATCTCCCTCCCAGAGACAGATGAGCTTTGCGTCAATTGGACACTGATCCAAGTATTCGGTGTGCATATGCCAGATGCCTACAATGTACAGGTTGTGGGCATTATACCATGTGTAGGTAGAAGCCACCTGGTTCAAAAGGACAGGTTCAAAAGGACAAAGCTAATAGTGGTAGTGACGAACCCACTGGCCTGTTCCAAACTTGCTGTGTAGGAACAGACCCTGGTTAAGTCTGTGGCTCTTCCAGTCAGTGCTGAGCCCTGTGGCTAGAGCCTAGGGGGAGGGGGTCGCTGGGGCTGAACAGCTTCAGTACAGCCTTGAGAGACAACTCTTCACTTTTGTCACCGCAGGATCGCCATTTCCTGATTTGTTCATTTAGAAAAGCCTGCTTACCAGGATAATTCCTTCCAGCTGTCACACTCCTGAGGCAGAGATAAAGCTAAGTTTGGGAGCTTCTTCTCATGTCTCTAATGCTGCTATTTTATTCTTAAAGAGAGCTCTTGCGGTGAAAACGATACCATATGGGTTTCCCCTGTTACAAAATGCTGTTAATGACATTTCATAATGGTGTCTGCTCCAGAGGTTTTTCCAGTGACGCCAGGGTCTGCATTCAAGCAGGTACCATACAACAAATTGTCAGAAGGTCTTACCTCGTCGCCTCTTCTCTACATAGTGGGAAATATTGAAGATCAACGATATAACCAGAGCCAAGCCCAAGAAGGCTAGAAGTCCCCAGAGGAAAAAGGGGCATTCAGAGTTTCCTGGAAACAAAAGTAGATATGTCTGTGATACAGCAGCTTACCACACATATGATTTACACCAGCAAATGCCAAGATTCAAACCAGTGTGTTTAGCTGAGGTTGGTGGTTCACACCAGTGAGCGTGACATTTGAGAGGCTAAGGTGACATAATGGCAGGAGTCTGGGAAAGCCTGGGCTTCAAAGGAAGGGTTTGTCACAAAATTAATAAGTTAATTAATTTCCTTCTCTTGTAATAAATGACAAATCTCCCAGAACATTATTAAACATTGACAATCAGATATTTTCAGATTTCAAAGTGTTGATAAGTCTCTGGATTCAGTGTGATTAAAGCCAGGTTTTCATATTTTTAGTGTCAATAAATTTAAAGATAAATTCAGCTATTAAAAGGTGACAAGTAGTAACATATTATAAGATCTCAGTTCAAAATCAAGATTACCCTGATAGCCCTGCACCTTCATTTCGTAGACGCTTTCCAGACTTTATTCTTCAGACTAAAATTTTATTTGTGCTTTTTTTTTTTTTTTATGAAATCACTCAGTCCTTTTCATCAGCCCTGGGACTGTGACACATTAGATATTGGGATGAAACAGTGATTCTGCAATCATTGCATTGTAGCACAGTTTTATTAGCATGGGCCACAAGGACCTTTCCTCACACTGAGTATCCTATTAATGGACAGGGGAGAGTTCACTGATGTGAAGGGCTTCTCTTTTCATTTTATTTCTGAGCAACAAAAGGAGCTAGGTTGGTTATTGCCAGTTGATCACACCAGGTAACACATTGTTACCTCCATACATTGATGAACAACTATGAACATAACAGACCAGAGCTGGCATATCAGTCAAGCCATCATGACCCATGCCACACATTGATCCTAGAAGAGTAACTTCTAATTCTCTGATATAAAACCAGTATCAATTAGATAGATATCTCCCCTATGCCAGAGCCTATACCCAATACTAAAAAATCAAAAATTTAAAACAAAACAAAACTAACCAGCTAACAAAGATGGTGCCTTCGAGAAACTTCTTTGTGAGGAACAGATGCTACATGTGTAATTAGAACTGCAAGCTGTAAATAGCTTACAAGTGAAAACAGCTATAAGAGAGACCACCATCCTTCAAAGTCCCTACTCTCTCAACATGAGACCAAGGCAGAGGCCATTTTAGAACCTTTGAGGAAATTACAATATCACGTTGTGAATATTGTATATTCACATATACAATAACAAGGAGGGGGTTAAAAACTTAACAGAGGAGAAATCTGAATTGCTTCCCTCACCTGTCTTTAAGCATTAAATGAGGATGCTGGGTGTCAATGAAAACAGCTTTTGTGTTTCTCTACTGTTTCCTCTGTCTCAAATATGATGCTTGGATTGTGACTGTTTCTTTGACTTCTTGTTTAGTTGCCCTCAGGTGTTTGTGTGTTTAAGCGGTCATCACTGATTTTTTTTAAATAAACATGCTCAGGCATATAAAGAATTAGTTGTACTGCATATGTGTTTATGACATAGACATGCACATTCATAAACTATAATTCACAGGTCATTTGCTTGTATGTGTGGGAATGTGTGGAAGCGGGCTCATAAAGACCAGAAGGGGCTGTTGGGTATCTCATTCTCTCACTCTTGGCCTTGTTCCTTTTAGGCAGTTTCTCACTGAACTTTGAGCTCAGTTGGCAGTCAACAAGCTCCAGTATGCTACTGCCTCAACAATGCTGGCTTTACAGACTCACAAGAAGACACACCCAATGGTTTGGTTGTTTTGCTTCTTAAATGTGGATGCTAGGATCAGAACTCACTTCTTCCTGTTTGCACTCTTACCCACTGACCCATCCCTGAACTTTATATAATTGTTCCAGTTTAACCTAGTTTGAACTCCATTTAAAGCCAGAAATCTTTGTTTACTAATTATGTGATATTTAATTTAATTCTGTTATTATTTCTATACCTTCAGGATACCATACGCAATTGAGAATAGGGCTATTTCTGACTCTTTCTGTGAAAACATATAATATGTTCTTCATAAAATAATTTTCAAGTGTTAATTAATAATGGAATAATAGCTGATAATGATAATAAAATGTGTTTGTTTTTCTTCTTTAAAGGGGAATATTTATGTTTCACAAAATGCAAAAATACAAAAATCCTTAATAATGCCCTGTGCAATATTTTTGTTAAAAAACACCAAGTTTTTTATGGGGCAGCAATTAATATATTCCTCATGAACAAAATTCCACCAAATATTATGAGCATTCTATAATATAATAGCTACTATGAGCATTCTATAATATAATAGCTATTAACTATATCAAATATACTTAGAAATTCTACATATAACATGATACTGTATATATACATGAAACTATTTATTTGATTATTTTTTTATTTTGTTTGTTTGAAACAGTTTGGGTAACTCAGGCTGGTCTTGAACTCACTATCATGAAAAATAAAGGCCCAGAGACCGATATTGGGGTTCAAGCTTCAAGCTGAAGATCAGAGAAGCAAAGCAGCCAAGCCACTAGCTTTTACCTTTACCCCAGACCAAAATGGCTGACCCTGTTTCTATGAATCTTCAGAGGTAAAATGCTCCAAGTTCCTGCCTCCTCCCACTTTATATTCCATGTCACTCTTGTCTCCACCACTCTAGTGCTGAGACTAAAGGCATATGACCCCAAATACTGAGATCACCTTTGTGTGAGCTGTTCTGAATCGATTTCATGTAGCTCAGTATGGCCTTGAATTAACAGAGATCTGTCTGCTTCTGTCTCCGGAGTCCTGGGATTAAAGGTGTGTAACACCACCGCCTAGCTCTATGGCTAGCTAGTACAGCTACTGAGATTAAAGGTGTATATCATCACTGCCTGACCTCTACAGCTTGTGGCTGTCTTTGCATCCTGAACCCTCAGGCAATCTTTATTAATCATAAATAATATATCATCACAGTGCTGGGATTACATGAATATACTACCATGCTTAGCATTTATTGATTTCTGTATAGGTAACTGATTGAAAATTAAACCACAAGGAGCTTGGGAATATTGATAAAGTACTGGCTGCTTTTAGGTTAAAAATCATGAAGATGAATGGCCAGATTAATGAATATATAATATTAATACTGGAGAGGTTGTTCAGTGTGTAAAGATACTTGCTGGCAAACCTCATCATCTTGAGACAGATCCCTGGAGGCTACAAGGTAGAAGAGAGCCATCTCCTGAAAGATGTCTCCCGACCTCCATGTACAAATAAATAAAGATAATTTAAAAAGTTTTTGAATTGTGTATATATAATGTAAAGGACTTTTATAGTTTAAATCCAAAGGTTTTAAAGCACACTGCACAATCTTGTTTGAGCAGCTTGGCTCTGTTTCTATGTGCTCAGAGGATGGTAGCTTCGTGTTTATCGCTGTTTGAGTTGACCCCACCGCATTACCTAACGCTCCTGGCAGAGGCACCATCTTCCCATCTTAGTGCCATATGTTCTCCTCCCTGCTGAATTCTGGGTAAAGGGCCGGAGGCTCCCCCTCCATGGCAAGTATATGATGCTGTACTTGCCCATGTGGAGGATATGATGGTCAGGGATTGACTCTGGCTGTTTATCTCTTGTGTATCATTGTTTTTGTTGTTGTTGTTTAGTTTTTTGTTTTGCTTTTGACTTAGTGAACCTGGATTTCACTGGTTCAGCTAGCGCTCTCTCTCTCTCTCTCTCTCTCTCTCTCTCTCTCTCTCTCTCTCTCTCTCTCTGCTACATTGTACTAGGGTTACAGGTAAATGCCATGATACACAACTTTTATGTGGGTTTCGGGAATCCTAACTCAGGTCCTCATTCATGAGCAGCATGTACTTTACCTTCTGAGCCCTCTCTGCAGCCCCAAGCTTTTCTTGCTGAATGCTTTCCATATACTATGACATCACTTTTTATGCCTTATCTTAAACTCTTTCCATAAAATGCTACTTTAGATTTCCTCCTTCGGGGAATTAATTGATGTAATCTCTCCATCTTATACTATGTTCCAGTCACCATGAAGCATGTATAGTCAAAAAACAGATACCATACCTTGTTATGTTCTTACATCTCTATTCATTGTCCTTTGCCTGAAGTGCCTTTCTCCTTAGATAAACTCAAAAACCAAATAGACAATCTTCTCTCTCAGACTTTCCTTCATCTCTTTACACTTTAACAAGCATCCTGTTAATCATTTGTGTACAAATTTCATTACCAATCTAAACTGTGAACCTTCTAAAGACCAGACTGTCTTATTTATCATTTTCTCCATACCTCAATTTCCTCATCTGTAAAAAGAAAGTAATAATAATGTTTATTACTATGGGATTGGGTAAGGTTTTCAAAAGTTATATTAACTATTAAAATGCTCAATAAATGTCAGGTGTTGACACTAATATTATCTTTGTTATATTATCTCTTCACCACTGGTAAATATGTTATTATTTCTGCAACAAATTCAGAAGATTGTCATTTCTCACTAACCACCATAATCTCACTCAATAACCGCAAAATTGAATGAAGGGTAATTAATATAATGTCTGAAGTAAAAAAAAAAAAAAAAAGGTTCTGGCCAAGTATGAGGTCTAGACACATCCAAAACCCAAGAAAAGATGCTACAGATTCTGGTCCACTTATCTATAACTCTATTAAGGAGAAGACCCAACTTCCCACAGTCTGGAAAACAGATCTCTGTGCAAGAGACGGTGATGCACGAGGCCACTGGAGCTTTGGTAAAAGTGTGCATCAACAACACCCAGAACTAAAGACATTTGTCTGCTCTGAATGTATAACTACCAAGAAATGTGGCGGTAATTAATTTGTTTCTCAGAAAACTTGAAGCAAGCAGTTAGTGATAGCTAGCCATCTAATTAAATGAGAAATTTATCCACTGTAAATATAAAATCTGCTTTCTTTTGGGAGTACGATTAATGTCAGAAAATGTCTGGAAAAGAGAATTTGAAAACTCTTACAAGTGGAGCCAGGCTATGAGGCCAGCTGCCAAGTCAGTAAATGTTTACTTGCATAAGGCCAGGATGTTCTGTCTTCAAGAGTTCCCTGTGAGTGAATGACCTTCTGGTGAGCAACGTAATAATGCTGAGAAGCCTGTCTGTGGTGATATACTATTTATGATTTAATAAAGATTGCATGAAGGATCAGAATGCCAACCTAGCCACAGCCATAGAAGCTGGGCAGTGATGGCATACACCTTTAATTCCAGGACTCAAGAGACAGAGACAGATGGTTATCTGTGAGTTCAAGGCCACCCAGGGCTACATGAGGGTGAATCAGTTTAAAAGAGTAACAGAGCTCACTTCTTTAATCCCAGCCCTAGAAATGTATACTAAAGGCAGGAGCCCAGTGTCTCATGCTGTATTCTGAGATTTAGTTTTCAGACATAGGGAAGACAGGAAGATAGGATCTCCTTTTCAGCCTTGGTAGAGGTAAGAGCTACTG